TATATTTCATTCGGTTAAGGAACAATTAATTAACATATTTTAATAATAATAATAATAATAATCATATCATTATTATTGAAGGATATATTCCGCCCTTTCCAAACAGATCACAAACAGTCTTGGTGACCATCAGAGTAATCTATAATCCATATAAATATAAAACATAAATATTTATATATATATAATTATGGCAAACAAATAAAGAACCATGCTAAGAAATCAATCATACCATCGTAGGTAAAATGTAGGTCAGAGCCCCTGTCAATTCAAACATTATGACAACTATACAAACTGAAAAATGATAAAAGATTTAGCAATATACGTTATTTTGATCTTATGCAGTAAGTAGATAATCTTTTATGACATATACCAGTAAGATGCATAACACCACTAAATAGATAATAACAAAACAGAAATATTATATATGTAAATATATAACACACTATTAACACTACTAACATGTTGTAACATGTTGATACAAAACTTAACTACATACCTTAAAGCAGCAGCAGCACCCAAAAATGCGTACATTCCAGGTGTGACACACTATATTATAAAATTAATAATTGATATACAGAAATATCAAGATAATAAATAGAAAACAGGTATTATGACTTACTGGTACATCAGGTTTGCAATATGCAAACATTGGAAATGTAGGATATGCACTATCAAATAATGAATAAAATATGTAAGAACAATATATTTACAAAACTATATAAAAGATAGTTTAAATATGACATACGCATGAAAAGATTTCACGAAAAGACCAAAAAATCTTCCAAAGGTAGCACCTACGGCCATTGAAGGGATAAATATTCCAGCAGGAACCTAAATCGATGTGTAGTACCAATTAGTGAAGAAATTTATCAAAAATATGATTCTTAAACGAGATGTGACATTTATGTACTTTCGCTCCATAAGATATTATAATGAAAACAGTTCGAAGAATGGTTGCTATCAATAATAGCACCATCATTCTAACAATCTCTGATCCTTTCGAAAAATCCGAGTTTCTTTGAATAAGAAGGGAAAAGCCACATTATAACAATATTTACGAGAATAATAATAATAATAAAACATTTACAAGTGAAATGGGATAGGCCTCTACTGCAAAATTTTCAGGTGAAGATAACCTAGGGGTTAAACCTACTTGCAAAGACCTTCATAATCATAATGTTTCTTCCCTTCACATTCCTCAAAAAGGAGTCCTAAAGCTTCAGTCATGTCTAATTTCATAAATATATTAAGATAACCGAATATTGCTGTAATTACAGCAAGTATAACTGCTTCAGTCACTGCATAATCTTTTAAGTACTTTTTCCTAAAATATTGAACCTTAATATTGAATCTTGTGACTAATGTGCCGTATAAACCCTAAATAAAATATACAGAGTTAACAATGAGCTGTATATATAAATAACTATTTAATAATATGTAGAATTAATAATCTACATTTATCTATATAGTTTCAATGAGTAAAAGATGTCACTTACGCCAAATGCACCCAATATTACAAAAAAGACGATTTCAAAATAATGCCATTCCCTATCATAAGTGACTTGAAACATGACAAGTTTTCCAGTTCTGAAAGGATTCATAGCCTGTAAAACAGCAGTTGCTACCAAAGCACAAAAAAAGCTACGCCACATAGTTTTCATAGGAAAATTTGAACTCATTTCCTAGAATTTAATAACATAATGTCACAGTTTGATAATAAATATTCAGAATGTATAAAAACTTTATGTTTTCTTACTTCGAATGAAAATAAAACACCACCAATAGGAGAACCAAAAGCAACAGCAACACCAGCCGCGCACGAGGCGGACAAAATTTCACGCATTTTGGCTACCATTTAAAAAAAAAATAATGTGAACATCCTTTTATATCAAAATATTATCAATAAATAAATAACATACCTTTGTTTCTAGTATATTTTCCAAACATTCTTGAAACGACATTTCCAACACAAGCGGCTGTATGTACAGCAGGACCTTCTTTTCCAACACTTAATCCAGACCCAATGGCCAGAGGCTGATGATATTGTAAACCACGTAGATGAATAGATAGATATTTATCGCATATATTTCATAAAGTAAAATAGAAAAATTACAGCCTTTATACGATAAATAAGAATCACTTACCACGCTCACACTTTTAAGCAGTAAGGTACGACCACCCAAAAATCCTTTCA